GACAAGAGCTAGGGTTGCCAATTTTGGTTGGATGTATTCCTGGAGGTTTCATCACATGACATAATCTTTAATTAAAAATTAATCTTTAATTCCTGGCGAGTCCAGGATGACCCTGGAGGGTTGGCAACACTATTGAGAGCACAGAGCCCATGATGGCAGCGATCAGATTATATACAGACTGGGGGCAGGATATAGCCTTTGCAACTGATCTGTGCCTCACCTTAGTGTCCAGGGGTGTGTGTGTGTATCTGGTAGATTCTAATGATCTTTGCTTAAGTACATGAGTTATATCCCTCGGTATGTTCAGAGGGAGGCTTTTATATCAGGCTCTTTACGCCGTGTCTGAGTCTATTAGATTTCCTCACTAAACACAAACAGAACATTTTAAAGCATGAGATGAAAATGTGTTCAGCACCTAAAGAGAGTCTGGAAAGTACCATTTTGCCATCAGCCAAAAGGACGTGTTATTGCATTTGTGAACCCACTACTTCCCCTCCCTCCACAGAGTGCCCACTTTAGAAGGGTAGCCCCCCTTTGTCCCAGCTGGCCCACTGGATTGGAATGGAATGGGTGGGGGCAAAGCAGTAGCAGAGTTGTGTAGACACTGATGATGCGACGGTGCCTGTGGTATCTCGCCTCTTGTGGATCTTAGGTTCTCCAGCACTGCACACAGCCAGGGGGTAAGTGATGTAGTTTAGAGGGACGGGCTTCATTCCCTGAGGTCTGGGGTATTTCTTGGTGAAGGAAAATCTCCCTCTTAACCTTTTGTTTCGCAGCTTGTTAATCAGAAGAGCACAGTTTAGAATGGATTCAAGAGCAGATGTTTTTCTAGAAGATGTTCTCTAGTTCAAACAGGAATGAAGTCCGCTGGCCTGTGGTATAGGTTGATCAGAATACATGATCACAGTGGTCCCTTCATAGATTATGAAGCCAGAGTCTTTCAATGAATAAACACCTCAATCGAGAGTCTTGAGATCTCAGCTGGCAGGCTGGGAACATGTATGTATATCAGTCTGTGTGTAACGGTTTGGAACAGTCTTTAGCTAATGAGCTGTGTGGCCTCCAGCCATGTTGAAGATGAAGTCAGAGAACAGAAACGTGCAGACACTGTGTCTGCTACACAGAGGAGGGAGCTGAGCAGCAGGGTTTGCGTCTGTGCAGCCTTTTCTAATGGACTTGGTCTGTGAGACACTCGAGGGGAATCACTGACAAGCAGATCCAGAAGCCTGGCAAATGAGGGAGAAGTAAAGAAAATGAAAATATCAGGAGACATAACAGTACAATTATTCTATCCCATTCCATTCAGGTTTTCTGATAATTTAGAGAGACGCCTCTGCATCAAATTCAGTCTGTGTAACTCCCTTGCAATTCAGAGGAGCTGAGGGGGGGGGGAGGGGGAGGGTCAATGCACATCTGTTGACTTCTTCTTTTTTGTATTTTCCCAAAAGAAGTGAAATGAACCACAAATTAACGTTGCAATGAACTGGATCTGATGCAGGTTGCACATACCCTCGTCTGGTTAGAATCAAAAGTACACAACTGAATTTTAATGGTCCCATATTGCTAAGAGCTAATGGAGATTCTATTTTATCTCCAGTTGTTGAGGTTTCTGCCATAGGAATCAGAGGATCTGAGTTCTGTCCTTATTGTCTCAACACCTTTCTGAATGAAAATGGGCAGTTTTGAATTTTGAGTTGGCTACAGGTTAGTCACAAATGAATACAATGCATGCACTGTCGGGTTCTCTTATATACAGTTTCCTATTAGTTTGTAAGCTCTGTAGGGCAGGGGCCACCTTTTTTGTTGTGGTGTCTGGCAGCCAGGGAAGGGCCGCAAGATGGCAGAGGACAATTCCCCCAGTGCTGGAGCAGCACAGGGCTGATCGAAGGGGGGAGGAGTTGTGACAGTTATGGGCAGGAGAGGACATACCCATAGCACTCTACACTAAGAGGTATTCTGGGTTGCAGGGTAGCCCATCGACAGCCCTGAAGATGGTGCTGTAAGTTGGAACAGACCCTGGGGCTGCTCTAACTTGCACTGGGTGCTGCAGTGGACCCGGCAGGGGCAGAATTTTACCTTTGCCCCCGTCCCCTTGGGCTGCATCGCTCAGGAAACGCAGCACAGAATCTGCCCCCTCAGGCTTATAGGCTGAAAGGAAGCGTAAACGAAATGACAGGAAACCACCTGGATGTGTTCAGGTTAAAATGTCGGTTGTGTGGAGCTTTTACATCAGCTGCTCTGCCTCTGGAGGCACAGGTGGAATTTAAAGCTGCCCTTCCCTCTTTTTTTGCCCTTCTGTTCTTTCTCTCCCTGTTTCCCCCCTTCTCTCCCTGAGATGCCTGCTCGTGAGGAGTAGTGTCATGTCTGAGCATTCATGGACTGTCCTGTGGGATCAAATGTTGTTTCTGGTCATTAGGAAGGAGCCCGTCTTCCCTTCCTGCATTGATTTCTTCTTCTTCATCAACCGTACCAAAAATGTATCAAATGTGCTGCACTTTTATGCAGAATTAAGCAAAGGACCAAGGTTCTCTGATTTATGAGACTCTACTCCACCTAGTGGTGATTCAGAGAAGGAGACAGCGTCAAAGAGGTAGCTAAAGGCTGACACACTGATTGGTCCTGCAGGCACAACAGCAGCTGTTTAGAAGAGTCTGTGTAAGATGTGAAGTTTTAGTGAGCAAAGCTACAGAACAGCGTGGAAAAGTTCTGTATGGATCCATATCGCTTGGAGAGGGAGGTTGTAGCCTGGCTGAGGATGATAATCTCCAGCACCTTCCGCTTCAACCTTGTTAATTGTGAGGGTGAAATTAGTTCTGTGACCATTGCCACTGAACTGGCTGGAGCCCCAGAGGCAAGGGTGGAAGCCCCATAATAAATAAGATGCTTGTCCCAATTTCTGTTGTTCCCAGCCTAAGCAATTGTGAGATCCTGAGCTGACTTTACAATTTGGGTGCCCCTGTGTTCCAGAGACACTTCCAGGGATCCTGGAGTCGGCGTCATCACAATCTGCTGTCTGGAGTCTGAATATATGAATAAATTATCCGTATATAAATACCTAGAGCTCGTCAGTGCAGCTAAGCAATAGTCAGTGGAAACATTTATATTTTCATCTTTGCATGGCTGATTCTGAATAGAATTTTAATCTTCTAACGACAAAGTGATGCGGGAGTGAGTGAATGTAAAGCTTGAGTTACTAGTGCTTCAAGCAGGAGTGACAGTGGTCATATCTCCTCTTGGCCACTGGCTCTGCAGGGGAGAACACCATGGAGAGCTACTCTTGTAAGTTATAGGGGTGAGGAAGAAATTTCCTAGGAGCCCAGTTATTCCCTCACTGCGATTGCAGGGTGACACAATTTGGGGATTTGTCTGTATAACCTATGAATTCTGACTGATATTATGAAGTGATTATCAAGTGTTACTATGAAAACTGCTGTATCATGCATGCCTCTCTGTAGGTGTAGCCTGCATGTCCTACTAACTAGAAGACACATTTTTCTCATACTGAGGACAACAGGAAGGTTCTTACCTTTAAACAGCTGTGCTTTGATCACATTAGTTATGCTAAAGAGTAACTGAATTCTAGTTGATGGCAAGCTGGGCTGAAAGACTCCACGAGGGTGAAGCAACTCGGCATGTAGAAACCTGGATGCAACAGGGCATCCCGCCTACCTTCCTGCACACAGATGATTCTCCAGGGACCATCTGTGTGCAGGAAGGGTGAGCTAGTGAGGGGCATTGCAGTTAGGGTGTTTGTTGTGTTCTGTATGCTCTGTACACGCTCGTTACATATACAAGAGCAATGGTGGTAGAATCTGTGCAATATGTCTCTGTGTGTGGTATATGCTTCACAGCTGCTACGGGCCTCCCGAGAGAGTGAAATGTTAACCCAGAAGGCTCACCTTGGGGGGAGTTGGGGAGTTCTAGGAGAGGGTGTGTTTCAGCTACTGAGGGAAGCTGAGGAGTCAGTGCTGGGACCAGGGGCTGGGAAGCTGGACTGCGTGGTCGCAGCTCTCAGGAAGTAAGTGCTATACAGAGGGTTGCACTGAAAGCGTGTGCCTAGAGAACTGAAATGTGGGACAGTGGCTGGACTCCATTCAGGGCCGGCTCCAGCATTTTTGCCACCCCAAGCAAAAAAAAAAAAAAAAGCCGCGATTGGCGGCGGCAATTCGGCAGCAGGTCCCTTGCTCCCAAAGCGAGTGAGGGACCTGCCGCCCCCGAATTGCCGCACGTGCCGCCCCTCTCTGTTGGCCGCCCCAAGCACCTGCTTGTTAAGCTGGTGCCTGGAGCCAGCCCTGACTCCATTCAGGCTCTGGAGACTTAAAACACCCAGGGACCCAGTGGATGTTTCCCTTCACTGCAGTCTAGAGAGTGGCTGAGAGGGACAGCTTGACTAGGGTCTCACACAGGGTTTCTTGCACCTTCCTCTGAAGCTGCTGGGTCTAGCCGCTATTGGAGAGTGATATTGGGTTAAATAAACATGATGGCAAATGGCAGCACTGCGGAAAGTGTAGTGTAAACAGGGCTCAGGTAGGCCTTATGTTTTTTACCATCATGTCATCTAACCCTGCTCTGTGAACACCGGTGGGAAATTCTGCGTCCCATTTTTGCCAGTGTAGACAAGACCCCAGAGCCTCAATCCTGCGAAGAGGTTTCTGCAGGGAAAGGGGAGCTGCAGCAGTGACTGTACTTCGCTAGATAAGAGGCTGGATCACACTGAGGTTTTACTCTGACCACAGTTTGCTATGATTAGATTATTGCTGTTTGCAACTATGTGTTAGTGGTCAGGGAGCAACTGCTCAGTAAACAGTGCTGAGCCGCATGGTGGGAGCACCAAGGGGAGTGGAAGATCTGGCGGGAGGGGACCGAAGTCTGACACACCCAGCCATCCCATTGCAGGGCAGCAGAAACACCAGTGCTAGGAAACTGCACAGGAAGCAGCTGAAATACTGAGTGAGAGTCTGAAACTAAACAGAGCAAGGAGGTTTTTGTGCTGGTCTGTATCACTGTGTGAGAGGGTAGCTGCTATGCTGCTGGCAGTAATAATCTCCAGCATCATCCGCTTCTACCCTGTTGATGGTGAATGTGAAGTCAGTGCCCGACCCACTACCGCTGAACCGGTCTGGGATCCCAGAGGGACGGGTGGAAGCACCATAGATAAGGAGTTTAGGAGCTTGTCCTGTTTTCTGTTGATACCAGGCTATGCTGCTATAAATATTGGAACTGGCTTTGCAGTTGATGGTGACTCTGTCTCCTGGAGACACCGCCAGGGATTCTGGACTCTGAGTCATCACGATCTGCCCACTGGAGTCTGCAATGCGAGAATAGATTTAGGATAAAAAGAAATATAAAGTCATTCCTACATCAGCATATTTAAAAAACGACAAATCTACATCTCTAGGTGTCTCGCCTGTAGCTCTCATTCTGGTGACACTAATTGCTGCTAGGAATGATTGCTGGGAAGGGAAATTCTGAGCATTTGCAGCCTAGTAAAATACTATAACTTTCTTTAAAGCTAATTTCCCCTGTTGTTCTCACCCTGAATGCAGAGCACGAGGAGCCAGAGAAGCTGAGTCTGGGAGATCATCTTGATACCTTAGTGTCAGATACCGAGCTCAGAAGCATGAAGTGTGAAGGTGAAACATTTATATCTGCTCTGAACAGCTGGGAACTGTCACTTGGGTGGAGATATGCAAAGCAGCCTCTCTGTGTAAATGTCCATCCCCTCTGCAGACCCAGGGTCATGTACACCCTGCAGTCTGGTTGCGTATCTGTCTTTCCTTGCAGAGAGGGATGCAGTGAGGCCTTATTTACAGAGTTCAGATCCTGGTTTTCATTCAGAAAGCAGTTTTCTGAATGGACTATTAGGATGCTAGTTAATAAATCCATTAATTAGTTAATCTTTACGTGATGGTTTGAAAAATTACAAGTCCACTTAAGGGATTTTTATGATGATTATTGCCAGATTCCTTTGTAATACCGGTCACTGAATATAAATAAGGGATTAAGCTTTAAGAGATTAAACTTGTTTGCTGTGGATGGTTACAGCAGTGTCCATCCTCTTCCTCCCTAAGCTTATTGAATGGGCCATTTACAGCTGATGCCTCCAATTCCTTTCCTTCAGCTCCCATCTGATCTGGTTTATGCCCTTTCCACTGCACTGAAACTGCTCTCAGCCTTTTCCTGGCCCAATCTCCATCCCCATCTTCCTTGACGTCTCGGTTGCGTTGGATGTTATCTAGGGTTACCATATTTCCACAATCAAAAAAGAGGACACTGGAGGGGGAGGAGCCCCGCCCTAGCCCCGCCCCCGCCCATCCACTCCCTCCCACTTCCCACCCCCTGACTGCCCCCCTCAAACTCCCCAACTCCCCGCTTCTTGTCCCCTGACTGCCCCCTGCTGAGAACCCCCCACCCTAACTGCCCCCCTAGGAACTTACCTGTCCCCTGACTGCCCCGACGCTTATCCACTCGCATGGGTGGCAGGGTTGTAGAAATTTTGGTGGTGCCCAGAACCCGCCCCCCCCACCTGCCTAAGGCTCTGGGAGGGGGATTGGGTGGGGGGAGGAAGTCTGGGGTGCAGGTCCTGGGTGGGGGGAGGAAGTCTAGGGTGCAGGAGGGGTGCAGGGTGCAGGCTCTGGGATAGAGTTTGGGTGCTGGGTGCAGGCTCTGGGCTGGGGCAGGGGGTGGGTGTGCAGGAGGGGGTGAGGAGTGCAGACTCTGGGATGGAGTTTGGGGGTGGGAGGTGGTGCAAAGGGAGGGGGTGCAGGCTTTGGGAGGGAGTTTGAGGGCAGGAGGGGGGTGTGAGAAGGGGGAGGGGGTTTGGGAGTTTGGGGTAGGAGGGGTGCAAGGGTGAGGGCTGTGGGGCTGAGGATGAGGGGTTCATGATGCAGGAGGGGGCTCAGGGCTGGGGCAGAGGAATAGGGGGTGGGGGGAAGAGGGTTGGGTCTGAGGATGAGGGGTTCATGATGCAGGAGGGGGCTCTGGGATGGAGCAGAGGATTAGGGTGCAGGGGGATGACGGTTGGGGCTGAGGATGAGGGGTTCATGATGCAGGAGGGGGCTCAGGGCTGGGGCAGAGGATTAGGGTGCGGGAGGATGAGGGTTGGGGCTGAGGGGTTCATGATACAGGAGGGGGCTCATGGATGGAGCAGAGGATTAGGGTGCGGGGGGATGAGGGTTGGGGCTGGGGCTGAGGGGTTTGGGGCGTTGGAGAGGCTCAGGGCTAGGGTGGAAGGGCAGGGTAAGGGCAGCCTGTCTTGCCATTTGTGGATGGGGGGCACTAGGACCCAGGGGCAGCAGACAGCAGTTGCTGCCGGCTCTGGCAGTACAAGCAGGCATGGGAGAGGCAGGCGGGGGGGGGGGGGG